TGCAAAAAAGTGATCAGTACGTGGCCTACCAAACATTTCCATAAGCAAACTTACAAAATTTGATTTGGAGTACCAAGTTTGTAGGGCCCACATCTATTTCACCAAGTGCAAAACAATACCAAGTACCCAACAAGTAGTATTTTCATGATATTACCATGCATGGCAATCAAGGTGTGGCCCACAAGGCATTACCCATCAACATTATCAAAACAAGTTAAAAGTTGGCTATGATAAGGCATGCTTGGACTGCTGTGAAGCAGATTGTATTGCTCGGTCCAATTGTTCAACTTTAGAAATATATATATATATACCCAAAAAAAAAAAAAATAAAAATAATAAATAATAATAATTTGTGTATATATATATTTTTAAAAATAAAAAAAAAATTGTGTATATATATATATATTTTCAAGTCAAGCAACGACGCTCAGCCGCTGAAAGAGCACCAAGCTAGACAATTACGAGGCTAGTGAAGATATACATTTAGTTTGAGGGCATAACCGAGCTACGAAATATTGGGCAGACACAAATGTTGGGCCGAACAATAATTTTGAATCCAACTCATGAAGCTCAAATTAAGTTGTGATCAGCCAAACTTTGAAGTTTGTGACAGAATTGGCTTCTGCTTCGCCAAACGTAAGCGCAAGCCAGGGAGCAAATGAAGTGGGTAAAAATTAATCAAGTCTTGGTGCTAGGCCCAATGCGATGCTCACTCCGAGATTGAGCTATGTTGGACCTCGGCCCTATGGCCAACACTTGCTCCGAAACAAGACAATCATAGGAGCTCGGCCCAATGTACGAATGTCACTCCAAAGTGGGCCGAGCGACATGATGGACCTCCTGGACGAGTAGCCAACCACTCCGAAGTAGGTTGAGTAACATGTTAAACCTCCTGAATGGACAGACAACCACTCCGAAGTGGGCTGAGTAACATGTTGGACCTCCTGGTTGGACAACCATTCTAGAGTAGGCCAACTCAAAGAAGGCCAATTCACTGAAGATCTTTCTTAGGCCCACAAGAGACAAACAACTCTGCTCCTCTCCCTCTGTATGAACAGAACGTGGAGACATGGAGGTGCAGAGGGACAAGGTGCACATATGACAGACCTGCATTTGAATGGCAGGCGGAGTGGTCATCCTCCTCCAATGAGAGATGTCCGCTAATGAGACAAACAAAGCAGACCTGCACCCGAGTGTCAGGCAGAGTGGTCATCCTCCTCCAATGGGAGATGACCGCGAATAAGACACATTGGATAGATGGCGGAGAGAGAAAGACTTGAACGATAAACAACCTTCTCTTATAAAAGGTGAACATTATTCACTCTCAAGGGATCCGAAAATCCACACACTCAACACATATACACTTTTAGTATTCTCTCTTCTCTCTTCTTCCTCTCCCTGAGTCCCTGACTTTACCATCGGAGGGGTTTCCGACCAAACCCTGGTTGGGCAGCCTTACCGTTTGTTATTTTGTGCAGATCTTCAATTCCTAAAGCACGCTGTTTATCCACGAAGTTCAACCCTTCTTCATAGTGCGGAAATCACCCCCGCACAAGCAGGTTAGATTGTGAGGGTAAAACAAAAAATGTAAGCCCTATTAATTAGAGCACGACTTGTTGGGTATTATGCTCGGTCTATAAGGCCAGCCTATAAGTCCCCAAACAAATATTGGACTAAACTTATGCGGGCCTGAGTTACATAGCCTTTTACTCCTTCTCTAATTAGTGTAATTAATGGGCTATATTTTAGCATAACCCAACTTTGGCCTCCATATGTAGGCCTTGTTTGGCAAAAGTTTATTTATTTATTTTTAATTTTAATTTTTGAACGAAAATCTATAAAAGACAAAATAAATTAAAATAGTTAAGGAAGATTTATTAAAAAAATTATTTTTTAAGTATTTGTATTACAATTAGTTCATAAGATATTATTGTATTTCAATAAGTCTTATTATTTGAATATTTGATCCATCAAATCCTAATTATCATATTTAAAGTATTTTATGGACATTTATACCCTTACAAATATTTTTTAAACTATTAGCAATTTGGTAATTTGAACATCCATATTTTACAATATGAATATTCACATTGACGTGTTAACATTCACATTAATGGTGTGAACATTCACATCACGGAACATGCACACTATAAATGTGAATATTATTATTAAGAGTATTTTTGTAATTGTATTACTCATAGGACTTATTGGAATATAAGAAAATAATGTGGATTAAATGGAACATAAGTAGGTGAAAATAGATTTATGAAAAAGTACCCCAATAGTTAATAAGACAAAATATCATATCAAATTCATAATTATTTCATTTTTTTTCTTACAAACATCACATTTAACTACAAAAAAATTCAACCATCTTTCTAAACATAAATCTTTTAGCCTATTAAAATAACCAAAAAACTAAGGTTGCGTTTGGTTTAGTTTTGAAATTGTGATTCTCTTTTTGGAGTTTGATTTGAGTGTGGAATTATGAGTTAAGTTTTGAAAAGAGAAAATTTGTTTAGTTATGAGTTTTGAAAAGAGTTTTTAAATTTTGAATTTTGAAAGGAATTTTGAGTTGTATTTTGAATTTTTTAGACTTACTTTTTTTAATTTTAAAAAATGTTTAAGAAAATTTTATTTTTTATTTTAAATAATTCGTTTTATTTTGTAAATATTTTAATTTTATTTTAATATTTCAAATTTAAAACACAACTATATACTCAAAACGTAATTAAACATATAACTCAAAACTCAATTCAAAAATTATTTTCAAAACTCATAACCAAACACATAACTTGAAACTCTATACTACTTTCAAAACTCTACACTCAAATCATAACCAACACATAACAAAAAAATTAAAATATTTAAAAATATATTTATAAAATAAAGTAAAAATATTTAAAATAAAAAATGAAATAAAATATTTAAAATAAAAAATAAATTTTTTTAATAGGCATTTAAGTCATTGCAAATGGGGCCAAACAGCTGTGCGCATAATCTGTTTTCAAAAGCACCTGAGAACCAACCCTAAAAAAATAAAATTAAGAAATTTTTTTAAATATTTTAAAAAAAATAGATCTAAAAATTTTTAAAATACAACTCAAAATTATTTTCAAAACTAATAATCAAACAAATTTTCTGTTTGCAAAACTCATAACTCAAAATACGACTCCACACTCAAATCATGATTCTAAAAATAATTTTAAAAAATAAAAAAAATAATTTATTTTTTGATTTTTTTTTTAAATAGAGTTTTGAAAAGAGTTTGGTTTTATGTTTTGAAAAAAAAACAATTTAAATTGAGTTTTGAATTGTGTGTTTTGTTATAAGTTTTAAAATTAATTTTTGAATTGAGTTTTGAATAATTTTAAATTGTATATTTAGTTATAAATTTTAAAAAGTAATTTGAAAATTTTGCTATTAAAATTATAATTTCAAAGACAAACCAAACACAGGCTAAAATGAATAATCTACGATATTTCTATATATTTTTTGTGATTTTAATTAAACGAGAATTAATTATTCAAACAAGTCACAAGTCTAAGCCTCCGTTTGGAAAGTGGATTCGTTTTTTAGCTTTTTGTTTTTTTGGCTATTTTAGCCTGGGGCTAAAAAGCCTGATTGGAGAATAGCTTTTTGGTTTTTTTGACTTTTTTGCCAGGTGTCTTCATTTTTTTTTTTTTTTTGGAAAAGGCTTTTTCATTTTTTTTTAAATGACATGGAAACTGTTAATTTCGGTTTCATTTTATCGACTTTTTATTTTGTTTATTTTTTTTTGAAAGGTTTTTTCTTTTTTTTTTAATTTTAAATGACGTTGACAATGCTTGTTTCAGTTTCATTTTCATCTGTTTTTTTTTAAATTTGTTTTTTTTGTTGGAAAAGGCTTTATTATGTTGTTGTTTTTTTTCCAAATGACCTGAAAAATGATAATTTCGGTTTTTTTGTTTTTTTTTTAATTTGTTTTTTGTTTTTGGAAAATGATTTTTTATGTTTTTTTTAAATGACATGGAAAATGCTAATTTTTGGATGAGACATATTTTTGTGGTTCTTTTTTTCCCATTTACGTTTTTGTCATTTTTTTTATTTGTATACATTAATTTGTTTTTATTTTTCAAAAATGGGTTTTCATGTGTTTTATTTTTTTTTAAAATTACATGGCAAATGCTAATTTCTGTTTTTAATTTTTTTTTGTGGATGAGGCGTGTTTTTGTGATTTTTTTTTAATTTACGTTTTTGTGATTTTTATTTTTATTTTTATTTTTATACATTAATTTGTTTTTATTTGTGGATTTTCATGTGTGGGTAGTTTGGTAAATTTACCTTGAAGTGGGTTGTTGCCAATCAATTGCAGTGGGGCAATTCTATTTCCACCCCCTAATAAACTCAGGGCAAATCTTTTCTCAATACACATCCCTATTAATTTAATTATTAAGTAATTATCTCAACCCACATCCTTAAAATTACAAAGAAATCCTTCACTCATATGTACACACTTTATCCTCAAAATACACACATTTTAATTTATCCCAATTTACATTTCACTTCCGCCCACTTTCGTGAAGACCAAAGTGACCCCAAGAAATGATGTGTATGGCTCAGGTTTGGGCATGGGATGTGCATGGAGAAATTCTGAGATGATAGTGGGTGAGATAATAATTTTGTTAAAGGATAAAATTATAATTCTAAAAAAATTCATTAAGGCCATGTTTGTTTGGGCGGACTGGATTAGCATTCCCATGACTAATAGTTCTAGGACTACGAATCCGTTGGATTATGTATCTTATCTTAACTAATAGTCAAGTTTAAAATAATTAGTCCCTACTTCAATTGTTTAACCAAACATCGGATTAATAATTTTATTGGACTATTAATCCAATCTCAAACTCATATTCATCTAAACAAACATGACCTAAGTGTGTGAAGTAAGAAAACTTGATGTGTGGAAATAAAATTTCCGATTACAGTGGCTTTTATTTCCATCTGGCTAATTTAGCCTCTTTTGTCCCGTAGTGGCCCCAATTTCCATTGCCAAACGGTTCTTTTCCTCCGTGTATCATATTGCCGAGAAAATCCGAACTTCGATTTTTCTCAGGAAACAAACACCACAATCTCGACTATTCTCACTTCATTCTGGATTTCGCTTCACAAATAGCCTTTTCCGATCAATCACACTTCTAATTCCACCTATTGAATCTCACTTTCGATGGCCTTTCTCGTGCCTTCCGTCGAATTCTCCTCCATCTCTCCGGCGAAGTTTGTCCCCGCAAGTCCGAGAAATGTTGGAAACCTAACAGTGTTGAAGAAGAAGAATAGCAGAGGTAGGGTTAGGATTAGGGTTTGTTCGAGGATCAAGGATATGGAGGTTGGGGTTTCAAAGATGGGGCGTAATTTGGGGTTGTGTGTTCAATTCTCAGCTCCGGTGACGTCGCCGCTGAGGCCGAGCAAAGAGGATGAAGAGAAGCAAAATTACTATGTGAATTTAGGTTACGCGATTCGGACTCTGCGCGAGGAATTCCCAAAGCTGTTTGATAGCGAACTCAGTTTTGATATCTACAGGTTTGAATTTGATTTCCTTATTCTTTTGCACTTATTTTGTTGTTTGGTTGTTGAGAAATGTTAGGAGGAAAGTTTGAAATTAATCTTATTTGATCATTTTCTTGTTATGGAAAGTGAGGAAAACTAAACAGAAACTACAAATTGAATCTATATGCCCCTTATTCTATCATTCATATATCTCAGTGTGAATGTGTATGTGTATAAGTTGTAATTTACTACTGATTATTGCTTTTGAAACTAGTGGAAGAAGTAATCTAGTGGTTATTAGTGGAGGTAAATTTATATATGGTGAAAAAGTGTATGCTTTGCAAGAGCTGCGATAGATCGTTTATCATGGTTCTTAGTAAAACAAAGTCTAATACAGTGTGGAATAACTGAAGACACTTATGCTTGACAATTAACTCATACTTCATTTTTTTTTTTTTTGAAATCAAAATTCTAGCTATTAATAATAGGTAGTTGTGGAGCCGGTTCTTGATGAAGTGGGTAATTGTTAGATTAATTCATTATCTTGAATCGTTTCATAGTAGAATCAAATTTTGTGTTGGGAATTATTAGCAAGATTTAAGTCCCTTCATTCTTCCTCCCAGGGCCAGGGGCCATTAAGCACGCAGCTGCCCATTTGTTATCCCAGCCTACTTCAAATGTAAGGCTACTGCTCCTCTCTTGAGGTGCAAGTAGGACATAAAAATGAGGATTGGTGGTAGCAAGCAAGTGTCCCTTTTTTGGTTTCTGTCTGACCACCTCTCCCCTCCCAAATCCCTTTGGCAGACATTAAAATGTAGAGAATATATCAGTCGTTGAAAGTATATCTTAGGGCAGCTCAAAAGGATGTTTTTCATCCAAGATGAACATCATCATCTTGAGCATCTTATCTATTAAGTTTACAACCTAGAAAGCCATGGAGAGGAGGGAAAATCAATTAACATGTCATTATGTATTTCAGAACGTGCATTTCCGTATTTAGTTATTTATATTTCTTCTTGTATCCTTCTGGTTTTTGTATCAAGTTATTGTTTGGTTCACTGGAAAGGAGGTGAATGGAACGACCATTCCACCAAAATGTCTATTCCCATGTTTGGTTGACTTAAAAAAGTAATGAAAAATACATTGTAAATGGAATCATCATTCACCATTGTAGAATGATCATTCCATAGGGGAGTTTAAGGAATAACCATTTTATCTCATTCGAGTGAACCAAATAGAGCATAAGTGCTTTTGTCAATACTAAGGCCTCGTTTGGGAATAGGCTTTTTTAGTAATTTTTTGGCTTTTTGAATAAAATACGATGTAAAAAAAAGATAGTATGTTTGGGATGACTTTTTGATTTTTTACGAAAATATATACAAAAAGTAGAGAGAAAAGAGAATGTTTAACTTTTTGGTATAGGTTGTTGGTTTTTTGATTTTTTTAGTGACTTTTTGATTTTTTTAGTGATTTTTTGACATTTTGGCTAAAAAAACCATTTGTCAAACAAGGCCTAATTTCACAATGCTATCTATAGCCCCGTTTGGTAGAGTTGTGAAAAAAATGATTATAGATTATAATTTAACAGATTATAGCTTATAGTTGTGAATATAAGCTGTTAACCTGTTTGGTGTAATTGTGAGATTATAGATTTAAATAGCAGAATAATGTTTGGTTGATAAGCTGTAAAATAATTTTTTGCTATATAATTATCCTTTTTGCCCTTATATGATATAAAAATAATTATTTTGTCATTTTTTTCAGTTTTAATTTAAAAAAAAAAATCCTTTCATTTTTTTCAATTTATATCATTTTTTTTTAGTGATATTTCATTTTTTTCATTTTTAATAAAATTATTTCATTTTTTCGTTATAAATTTATTAGTGTCAATTAATGGCTTAAGTAGCATCAATTAATACTAAAATTATTAATTAATATCAATTAATATAAAATTTATTTCATTAATGGCTAAAATGCTTAATTATTATTATTATTTTTTTATTAAAAAAACACTGAAAACCTCCACACACACACACACACACACACACACAAAAATAAATAAAATAAATAAAAAATAAACTGAAAATTATTAATTATATGCATGTATTTATATTAATTGTGATTTCATTAATTAGTATTAATTTATACTAAAATTATTTATTAGTATCAATTAATATAATCAAATTTTTTTCATTAAACAATCAAATATTTTTTCAATTAAACAATCAAATTTTTTTTCATTACAAAACCCTAGCCGCAGGCTCCTTCTTCTCCTCCATCCGTACGCCGCCGGCCTCCGCTCTTCTCCTCCTCCTTCTTCTCCATTTCAGATTGACGACTAGTTGGTTCTGCAAAACCCTAGTTGCGGGTCTACAAATCGATGACCAGCCGTTGATGTAGGTGCAGGAGGCGGCGGAGAGAGAGTGAATGCCAGAGATGATTTTTGGTTTCAAATCACGATGGAAAGAGAGAGGGAGATGGAGAAAGAGAGAGAGAGGGAGAGCTCTCGTTTGTGAAACCCTAGCTGCCGGTCTGAAACAGCGTTAGAGAGAGAGAGGGAGGGAGGGAGGGAGGGAGGGAGGGAGGGAGAGCTCTAGTTCGTGTGCGTGTGCGTGTGTGTGAGAGAGAGAGAGAGAGAGTTGAGTCGTCGAAAATCGTCCTACGCCGGAAATCGCCTCTGTCTCTCCCTCTCAAGTGAGCAGTGCTGATAATAAGGCTTATATAGTGGGTTTTTGGTAATAGTTGAAATATCTTAGAGGCATTTAAGTCATTGCAAATGGGGCCAAACAGCTGCGCGCATAATCTGTTTTCAAAAGCACCTGAGAACCAAACTTAAGAGATTATTGCTGAAATGGCTTAAGTTAAGCTATAATCCATCCCTCATAATTTTTACCAAACACTCCAACATGACTTATTTTAAGCTATAAGTTGATTTAAGCTGCAAATAAGTTTTACCAAACACCCACTATGTCTAGAAACATACCAATTTTACAAGCCTTGCATTTCTAGAGATGAGTTAATTTTGTTTTTTGGTACATTGGAAGCTGTAGCTTTAGGAGGGGGGAATTCTTGTCACTGGCAAGACTCAAACCCTTGACTTCCTGGTGAGGTGCAAGGAATCTGGTCAGTTAAGCTAGTTCTAGTTGGTTGGAGCGGGAGTTAGTTATGCAAGTGCAATTGTGTGTCAAGAACTCTTGTCTGTTTTTTCATTTTCTTTTTAACATACTCTACACTAAGAGGACCTGATGGCAAACTAGTTATTAGCAAGTAGGAGAAAATCATATTTATTTATATAAATTTGTAACACCAAGGATCCTCTAGAGTGAAATTTTCCTAAAGTTTCCTAGAGTAGTACATTGTGTGGTTGAGATTTACTTGATGTGACTTGCCAGTAAATCTTAACCACACAATGTAGCACTCTAGGAAACTTTAGGAAAAAATCACTCTAGAGGATCCTTGCTCAATTTGTAAGGGGGAAAAACAGATTTATCAGTTTTATTCATAGTGTATTTAGGAAAAGTAGAGTCGCCTATTCGCAGAGTGTTGGGTCTAAAGCAGGAGTTTCAGTTTTCATCTTGTTAGTTTTATTTATTTATCTTGCTTTGTAAGAAGAAAGTATGCAAAAAACTATACTAAAGACAATTGATAGATCTTCAATTTAAGCCAATAAAAACCAATTTAAAAGTGAACAATGAGATGCTTAACTACACTATTTCTGCAAAATTTATTGAAATTGTTTGATGTATTCACCTTTAATTCTGATAACCTACCTCATGCACACCTTTGATGAATGAATTTGTCTCAAATATGCTCCAGGAAAATACCCTAGAGTGCGTCTACGCTCATACCAAATAAATGAATAATAAGATTATTTAAGACTTTAAATTAGAGTGTAGGTTGTGGTGTTAGGCATGGAGTTAAGAAAAGGGTCATCAGAAACTTCTAGGCTGTCATTGTGAAGTTAGTTAGGTGCATGTTATAATTGTGTGTTTTTGCGGTGATCTTGGGTTTTATTATGAAGTTTTTCCATTTGTGTCTGGTCAATTCATTGTGCATGTGATGTGACAGATAGGACCATACATTATTTCTGGCTATGAGAGAACAAAAATATCCCATGCATCGGTGAGGAAAAATTCTTCAATAGTGTATACTTGAAAATCAATGAGTGATGTTTTTTTGCCTATGCATCCATCTCATGCTCATACTTGTATTGTAGCACATAGTCTAGTTGAGAATCACCATTGCAACACTTTATTAAAACAAAATAATATTAAAATATTGCCCTTTTATTTTAAACTACACACCTCAAAAAGACATCGTGTTGCTTCAACTTTAAACTTGAACGTTGGATTATCACATCAAGATCACTGCGTAGAGGATCATGATCCATGGAAGTATAGCATATGGTGAGGGATCACCACTTCAGTTCAGTAACATGCTCTTAACAAAGATCATATGAAATTATGGTTATATCATGAGTATTTACCTCAAAATTTGATCAAATACCATATCCATTATTTATTCATTGACGATGTGTCAATGCCTTGCTTTTGCTTTGAACAGGGATGATATTGTCTTGAAAGATCCATTCAGCAGTTTTTTTGGAATTGAGAACTATAAGTCGATTTTCTGGGCACTACGATTCCATGGCCGGATTTTTTTCAGGGCCTTGTGGGTTGACATCGTTAGCGTGTGGCAGCCTTCTGAGAGCATCATAATGGTACGCTGGACTGTCCACGGTGATCCACGAGTACCTTGGGAGAGCCGCGGTCGATTTGATGGCACTTCCGAGTACAAACTTGATAAGAATGGGAAGATTTATGAGCACAAAGTTCACAATGTCGCTCTGAATAGACCCCCAAAGTTTCGAGTACTGGCTGTAGATGAACTAATTCAATCTATTAGCGGTTCCTCAACGCCAAAGCCCACATATTTTGAGATTTCACCCTCTTCAATCATGTACTCTGTTAGGCATTACCTGACTTTGGTTTTTGCCTTTGCTCAGAGACCCGAGGCAGAATTATCAAGGAGAAGGTAATATCGCTTTAAAACTCCCAGATTTGGTGTATGTTGTGAATTTTATAGAGCTTCACACCATAGTATGTTTTGAATAACTGTCTGTGTTTCGACCTCTATCTGAAGTTGACTCGAGTACTATTTGGCAACATGACCTGCCCTACTCGTTGTAGTTTATGCTGAGAGATGCTAAGCTTTTTAGCACCAGGAAATTTTTGTGGTGACCTTGTTAGGTGTAATTACTGGACTGGAATTTTCAAGCTTGGATATACACTATATGATTGTATATTTTTGTATAGTGGAATTACAAAGTCTTAAGTTTCCTTTGGTCTTGGTAATTTTTACTAGGTATGCCTTGTGAATCTTAAACAAAATGGAGTTTGGCTTGTGTTTCAGACAATATGACTTTTGTGGATTGAGCAGACAATATGAGTTTTTACCATGTTTGATTCGTGGATAAAGGGTGAGATATTATTTTATCTCAAGATGAAATTATATTGTGTCGGGTTCATAGTTGTGACATTCGGATGCACTTTTATCTTTTATGTGCAGAATTATTTTGTCTTGAGGGCCAATCATAACCAAAACCATCGTGACTAGCGCTATTAATGAATTGGGTTGAGCTGCAGTAGAATCGGTTATTTAAATTTAACTTGTTTATCTTTTTTAATGATTTTGATTTAATTTTTTTAATAATACGTATAAAATATCGAACTGAGTAACAGGAAGTGTGAATTTGGACAGTGAAAAGGGAGAGACCAGAATTAGATATAGAAGAATTTACAGGCATATGCTCTGGCCTTTAGGGGAAGGAATCATGTGCTATTGCGTGCATTTTCTGTCTTCTTTTCTTCTCACTCTCTCTCTCTCTCTCTCTCTCCCTCTCTCTCTTGCTGTGGTTTTACCCTTTAACCCATTTTCTCAATAATTCCTCTTTGATTTGGGAGTACAAGGTAAGGAATATTATGAAAGTGATGGTCCACCAAACCAGGGGTTCCAATTGATGGATTGATTGTTTACTAATTGCTCATTGGTTTGTCATTATTATCTTACAGACTTTGTGAAATGAGAAATGGTTTATGATATCATGATGATTTAAAATGGTAAAAAGGAAAAAGGAAAATAGTATTTCAGTGGGACAATTTTAAAATCATTGCACTATACGTAAAATTTTGAGATATAAAAAAAAAATTAATTTTGAGATATTAAAAAAATTTACACCAAAAACAAAAAAGCAACTTCCAAAAAGCAACTTTTTGGAATGATGGTTTAAAAGATAATTTTTTAATTTTTTTGATTTTTTTTTTAAAAAATATAAAAATATATGAAAAATAATGTGACTTAAAATGATTTAAAAGCTGACTTTTAATTACTTACTTACTTATTTTTGGATTGGATATGCGGTTTAAAAATAAGAATTTCAGACAGTATAAAAGATTTACTTGAAAAGACTTTTGTCGAATACAATAATAAAATTTTATGTTTTTATAACATGAAGTATGAAATTTTGTTTAACCTCTGTAACTAGTTCAATCATCGTATTGCGTATTAGGTGGTATTTAATTTTTTTTGTTTTTCCAACTCAATCCTATCTAATTTATCTTTTGGGTCGGCTAGTGGGATAGCCAAGCCATTCCCATTTCTCTATGTTATGGAACCAAAACAACCTATTTTCCAATAATATTAAAAGGTTAAGGGCCTCTTGGAGAGTTACTTAAAGAAAAATTATTTAATACTCCTAAAATTTTTATGTATTTATACTCTTTTATTAATTATTATACATCATATCCTCTCATATTCTTCAATTACTCGACACAAAATCATAGGTCTTACTTTTTCCACTAATTATAATATCTTGAAACACTGCATAATTATATTTTAAAAGCACCCAATAACCACTTCTTCTCAAGGCACTTTAGTGTAAATTAGAAGGATTGTAACTGTTGGATGTTGCTTAGTGCTACTATAACTTAACAACAAAAATACATGAGCACAACAAAATCTTCAATTCAATGTCTGAGTTCTTCTTGTTTTACATGAAGAAGATTTGGCTCAACCTATTTTATTTGATACAAGTAGAAGAATTGGACCCTTGATCCATGTGTGCTATCGGCCACTGTCCTACTTGATCGGGTGGGCAACATAATCATATAAAATTACCCTCCACAATAATAAAAGAGTTGTTGTTAGCCCTTCATTAATTATTTTATACTTTTTATTCTTTTGGATTCTCACTTATAAATTATAAAACTTCAAAAATTTATTTTCTCCTCTTAAATAATATTAAAATTATCTTTGTAAAAATATTTCACTCATTCAAATCCACACCCCACACCCTCCACACCTCAAAAAGCCTCTCTTCCAAAATCCTAACAAATCCACAACGGTGGAACCTTTCAAAACCAATGGAAAAAATTGTGATGATTAAGAAGTTTTTTTCTCTACTTTATTATGAAATTTGTCAATTTGTTTGATTTTTTTCCCTCTTATCACTTTTCGCACACACAAAACAATATACTTTCATACTTCTTTAATTGGTTTTCTATGATTCATCCATGACCTTACTATACTTGTATGTTCTTTGTGCGAGCAAAATTGGACAGGATTTCACCCACCGATCGACCACCCAATGGTGGTTTGACCTCCTTTGTTTGCCTGCTCCTGTTGTTTCTGCTTCAGTTATTTGTTTTAGAACAAATAAGAAATGTGCGATTATCTATTCCGGAACAAATAAATAATATTCGAGCCTGTGTTCCCGAATTTCAGCCATCTGTTCGAAAATTCAATCCCAAAAAAATGGCGAACAATTTTTATTATTTTTTTTAAAAAAACTTATCTTAACAAGATCAATTTTCTCTCAGTTGAGAATACTATCTAAGTTATAAATCTCCACTAAGCTTTTATTGTTATACTCATCTCGTTTCATGGAGTTGTGGTTGCTAAAAAAAATTCCACTCATTGTCATTGCTGAAAAAGTGTATGTAATTAAATGGTTACCACCATTGTCGCCATAATTTTGCCGCCAAAGGGTCTTCAAGGTTTTGAGGACGGCTAGATTTTGAAAGTGAGATTTTGGGAAGATAGATGGGTGGTAATGGAGATGAGTGCTCTCATAAACCCTAACTTATGATGTAGTGGGCATGTGGGTTTAATTGTGAGATGAATGTCTCAAAATTATTAACATTATTTTTAATAATTTAACTTGAGGTTATTATTGTAATAAAAAAATAAAAAAATAGAAAATTCAAAATAATTGATGGGTACTAATAACAGTTCTCAATAATAATTACATATTTTTATTGTGTGTATTTTTAAGCAAAATATATACATATTTTTAATATTTTGTTAAAAGGTTTAATCAATTTTTTATAAAAAAATATATAAAATTAGAACCACTTAATCTTAATACTTAAAAGTAAAAAATAGAAATTGAACTTTTTAACAATTTTTTTTTTTTTGAATATTAAAAAGTTTACAAATAGTTTGGTTTTCTGAATTTATTTTCTATATTTTTTTAAAAAAAATAATTTTGTGAATAAAATAAAAAAATCGATTTTCTTCATATAATTCGACATTTTTTAAAGGTAAAAATAATTTATTTTAAAATTAAAATTATTTTTTAATATTTGTTTTGATCAAATTAATTTTTATCTTTTCAAAAAAAATTATGAAGAAATATCACATCAGTATATTTGCAAAAAATAATTGCCAATCAATGATAAATTTTATCATTTATTGATAATTATTTTTTAAAATTAATCCTAATTTATAATTTTTTTAATTTTTATTAAGATATTATTTGACATAAACTGAATAAGTACACTTATTTACATAAGTGTATTTATTTGAGTCATATTATTTATCTATATTTTAATATATTTTTAATAAAAAAATAAAAAATTATATTTATTTAGATTATTTTAAACAATTCATAAAATCAAATGGTGAAAAATATCTGGTGTGACAATTTGAGGGTCAACAACAACATGTTGGGGTTAGTCCCAACCCGGAATTGGAGTCACTGCCGTGTCTCATTTTGTGGTATATTATGAATTTATTTTTATAATCTGAAACCGTTCATGTTGTAAGATTTGTTGAGTACTTCATGCTTACCAATAATCATATTAATCGGATACCAATAACTATATGATTGATAACCAAAAAAATAAACAAGAAATTTTTCTTTTGAAAAATAGTATAAAATATGTAATTTGATCATATAATTATTGATATCCGATTAATATGATTTTTAATAAGTTTGAAGTACTTAACAAATTCTACAAAATAAACAATTCAGATCATAAAAATAAGTTCATAATACATTTCAAAATAAAATACAATAATTACTGCTGTGCCAAAAATACAACAGTGATCCCAACCCCTCCCCCCCAAGTAGTAGTGGTTCAAGTCGCTTCTCTGTAGTTGTTGGGTTGACTCTGAAAGCGACTTGTCAAGTCCGGTTTTTAATTTTTCGAGCCCAGTAGACCCAGACCCACCACAAACCGCTTCCATTTTATTTAGGAAAATGTTTCGTAACTCAAATTTTGTGGCTTAAAAGTGGCTCAAATGGCCAAAACGACGTCGTTTTGGCCATTTTTATGTTGTTCTGTACTCAAAACGACGTCGTTTTGGCCATTTGAGCCACTTTTGAGCCACAAAATTTGAGCTACGTAGCATTGTTGTTTTATTTAATAGACCCCACAATAAATTCGACGTTATTTTCACTCCTGAAAAATTAGAATTGGGGTCACTGCTGCTGGGACTGTTATCCTTCAATTTGAGTTGTATTATGTAATAATTTTTATAAATTAAATCGTTTTTTTTGTAAAATTTGTTGAGTATTTGATATCTATCAAAAATCATATTAATCAGATATCAATAATTATATGATCGATAACAAAAAAATAACCAATAAATTTTTCTTTTGAGAAATAACATAAAAAATATACAATTTGATTATATAGTGATTGATATCCGATTAATATGATTTTTGGTAGACATGAAGTACTCAACAAACCTTACAAAATAAACGGTTCAAATCATAAAAATAAATCTATAATGTACCTCAAATTAAGACACAACAATCACTGTTGTACCTTTGACGCAGCAGTGACATAATTTCTCGAAAAATTCAAGGCTCCCTTTGGCGGGTGATTTGGACTAATTTAATTATATAAAATAAAATTAATTATTTTAATAAAATAAAATAAAATATCATATTTAAATCATAATTATTTTATTTTTTCTTATATAAAAATTAAAAAAATAAAAAATATATCTCAAACAAAACCTTATAACCTTAAACTAGAATAACTAAAAACCTGAAAACCTAGAATGTTTTTAAAGTATTATGTATCCGTATTTCTTAACCAATTATTATTTAATATGTCTTTTTATATTTTCTAATCACCAACATAATATTTCATTTATTTATTTTTTTCACTAATCAAAATATTATAAAATAGTATTTACACATACTCTAAAATTATTATTGAATAATTACACCGCCGCTCCGAAAGATAACTCGCTCCCTTTTTTTTTGTTTTTTTTTGGGTACATCGGAAAAAAGAAACTCGCTTCCCGGGGTTGCTTCTTCTACACACATTTCTCTGTCTCTCTCTCTCTCTGTCTGTGCTAATCTCTCCAACCAAAACCTAACTTAACTCCAAATCTAACTGAACCATCATCATTATTCTACTATTATCTTCCAACAATTAGTTTCTAATTCTTCTCTCTCTATAGTTTTTTTTCTACAAATCTTGGTTGTAATTGTTGAACTTTCACAATAATATTCTCACTTGAAGGTCTTACACAGAGAGAGAGAGAGAGAGAGAGAGAGATGGAATTGGAGCAACCACAGCACTACAACAATCCAGCATCGATGACGTTTGACGAGGTCTCCATGGAGCGTAGCAAGAGCTTCGTCAAAGCCTTGCAGGTTCGATTCTTTCACTTTCTCTCTCAGATCTGATTTTGTCTTTTATTTATATATATACGGATATGAATGTGGTGATAGTATATGTTTTTATTTGATGAACAGTTGACTTTCGATTTTTGGTTTTCTGTTTGGTTCCTGAGAAAACCACATGAAAGAAAATAATTGGGATTTGAGAATGGTTTTATTAGGTGCAGTTCAAAAGAGGGTTTTGAAATCTGTTGATTTTTGTTCCTTGAGATCTCATTTATGTGTGTTTCTGGCAATCTTTAGGAAATTCATTTTGGTTCTGTATTGTCTGATATTATTTGGAGAACTGTAATTTAAGGGCTATACCAACGAATTCAAAATCTGTGACTAATGTTAAGCGGATAGATAGAGCAAGACTTTGAGCGAGTGAAACTGCCTCATGAAGCTTTATTGGCTTTCTCGGGCAGGGATTGGGTTGCTCTAGAGACTGGCTCGCTCTCTGTTTACTGCTTCCAAAGCATCAATTTAACCTGTTTGAGCTTCCCTGTCAATACGTACTCCCTCCAAACATTCAACAAGCTCTCCAAACACATTACTAGGCATTACAAATCCTCACCATGCACCGCAAGCCTCCAATCGTGTTACACACTTCTCAAACACTATGACACCTTGTAATCTTTAAACATTGTATTCTTGCACGTTGCATATTACAAACCCAGTGGGGTTTTTTCTATGGAACATGGCAACCAGACGCACTAGCATTATTCATGGTTTCAAATGTTCCAACTTTTTTTTATTTGGTTTTTGAAGACAATTACAGATGGTGCTTGTCTCTGTTTGTTAAGTGGTAGGTGACCTCATAATATGGCAAGTTATGTTGTTAATATTCATCCTTTATGGTTAGTCAAGGGGTCTTTGCTTTTTTTCCGTCTCAATCTTTGATGAAATTATCAGCTGAGTCTCTTCATGTTTCCATGCATGATTTATCGAAAGTGGTGATGTTTCTTGTTTATTCAAGCATGAGTTATCATTCTTAAGTTCCCCTCCATGTAGTGGGTAATTCACGATTCAGTTTGAAACTGTAAGTCTTTCCATCAATGACAAGTATCTGGCTGATTTACAATTTCTAATGGGTACATTTTTTCACGATAGGTGACATAGAACAAGCTGACTAGTTGAGTTGCAATTTTGTAAAGTTCATAAGTATTCTACATCAGTGAGATTCTATAATATACTTGTGTCTTTTCTCTTAATCTTGGCCATTTAATAAATTCCATTTGCTATGCTATTTTGTTTCATGAAGGTATTTGTCCATGGATCCATTTTTTAAAATTATTTTTACTTTAATTTTTTTTTTTTAAAATTCCAAACCTGGTAATTCTTACCCATTTGAAGATTGAAATAATACCTGAAGCCTTTTGATTTGATCAGCTATTCTTCTAAGCTGTGATCTATTCTTACTCTTGATAGCTGTTCTGTGCTCATTTTTGTCATATGTAAGCACTTTTCCATGTTGTGTGGTAGCGAAGTGTTGCGTTAATACCAGTTTGATCCTTGTGTCGTGACTATTTCAGGAACTCAAGAATTTGAGGCCTCAACTTTATTCTGCTGCAGAATACTGCGAGAAGTCTTATCTTCACAGTGAACAGAAACAGATGTAAGACCACTGTAACTGTGACTTTATTTGCAAATCTTAGTGAAATGTAATCCCTTTAGTTTTTTACCATTGGTCTGTTTTTGGAAAGCCCTTGGTGACTATTTAATCTTCATTATTTATTTAATGTGAGACTCACCCAGGCACTTTCTAGAGTAGGTTTCTGACTAGGTGATTGACTAACTTAATATAATGAATTGTTTATTTAATTGTTCTCACTGTTCATTTAAGTCTAGTTAAAAACCATGAAAAAAAGGAGAGCAGCACTCATACCCTTTTAAGCACTGTATTTGTTGTGCACATTCATTTTGCAAAGTAAGTGTTGGGATTCTAGAATACATGGCTCCTTTGTTTAAGATCGATTTGCAGCAGTTACAATGGCAACATTTATATGATTCCATTTGGTTCTTTTAAACAAAGTCCGACGTAGAGAATGTGATGAAAACAAAGGCTACAAACGAGATTGGCCAAACGTTTATGTATCATGTATGGGACCATTAATGTGTTGTAGCCATCCTCATTTTTGCAATCCGTGGTCAAAGCGATGGTGATTGTAATAGGAGTATTAGTAACAGCACAAATAACAACAATAATAATGATTCTTGTTTTTGTTTTTATTTTTTTTAGTTTAGAATATGGTTATCCATGGTTTAAAATTATTTATTAACAGTTGCACGCCATTGTGTTCATTGTGTTTGGAATTTCGGAACTTTTCTTCTTTTACTGGGAATTTAATTCAGAAGTATGTAGGGTCCTGGACAACCTGAAAGATTATGCTGTACGAGCCCTTGTGAACGCTGTTGACCACCTTGGGACTGTGGCTTACAAATTAACTGATCTACTTGATCAACAAACCTTGGATGTCTCAACCATGGAACTTAAGGTTTCATCTCTGAATCAGGTAACATAAATGCAGTGTCTCTGAAAAAGAAAAAAAAAGAAAAAAAAAAGAGGTTTTAGCGAGAATGTTACATAAATATGAGCTGAACTTGGTTTATATTTATTTATTTATGTCAGCAACTACTAACGTGCCAAACATACACGGATAAAGAAGGCATCAGGCAGCAGCAGTTGTTAGCATTCATCCCAAGGCATCACAAGCATTACATTTTGCCCAGTAAGACTAATAATTGCAAAGTTCTTCTACAAGTGCTAGTCTGTATGATGAGACCTTTGGCATGTTATTAATTTCCCTTTTAACCATTTTCTTGGTTTAACACCCAAGCTAGATTCTGTTAACAAGAAGGTACATTTTAGCCCGCACATACAGACAGATGCTAGGCAAAGTCATATTCAAACAAGATCTCGTGTTTACCCTTCAGGTACCTCCTTTTCCTAATGATGAATGTTTGTGTCCTGTCACAACTTGTTTTAGTGCAAGACTCTACTTTTGACTCAGCATTTAATTCGTATGCTGTGTGTGTTTAATTTAGGCACCTTTGCTTCAAAAACTCTGTCTTGGCATTTGGCATCAGAAACCAAGTCTACCTTAAAAGCTTCCCCACATGCTTTGATGACGTCAGTCCATGAACTTCAATTAGTTTTTCATTTCCATTTTCATATGGAACATTTGCTAATATTCCCAAGAGAGCTTGAATGATATTGTTTATGTTGCAGCAGTGAAGATCCAAAAACTTCTGAAAAAGCTTCTGGGATCTTCCACTTAGGGGGTATACATAAGTTTTGCTTGCAGTTGGCTGTTGTTTTGATGGTGCATCTTCCATTGCGGAATTATAACCCCATACTTACAATTTTGCTCTTATAGATGCTGAAGAGGGTACCCGAATGAAGTCCTCTGCAGTTCCTCTCCAGTTGTCCAATGGAAGGCAGGCTTCAAGTGCAACTATGCAAACACTCGGTGTCACACGGAGGGTAATTTCAAAATCAACAAGAACTCAGACATGCCCGACATTCTTCTAAGTGCATGCCTGATTATATGAGTGAATGGATGGAAAAATAATCAACATGTTATTTCTGAAGTTTCTCCTAACATGCTTGCTGATCTTCTTTTTATCCAATTTATTGGACAACCTTTTTCTCATTTTAGTATTATGTATTTTACATGCTATTTTCAATGAAATCTGTTTATGTATGACATGTGTACCAACATTCAATGTTAATCTCACATTCACATAATCAAATCTGCCGAGAACTACTTTTCTGTTGCTCTCTTCGTTTTGTGTAACCACAATGGTAAAAGCCACAAGTACTTGAGCTATAGTTTTGGTTAGTTTGTCTTTGGAACATTGTTATGAACATTAGTGATGCATGTGTATCTTACAAAGAATAACTGAGGAATAATTGTTAGTTTAATTAGGACAATAAGTTGACTGTGACTGCTGCCCGTGTTGGATTTCCTCTTATAGCTCCACGAGTGTTAATTTTAGATTCAGTTAGAGACCTAACTTTAACATTGATCTGTGATGGCTGCCCTTGTTGGATTTCCTGTCATAGCTCCATGCGTGTTAAGTTAAATTCAGTTGGGAGGCCTAACTTTAAGGTTGCAAATCTGTGAAACTTGAAAAATATAGCCATCAACAATTTTGCATGGATTAAATACATGGAAGATCCCTTAATCTCTCTCCAACATGGGTTAAAAATACATGGAAGATCCTTTAATCTCTCTCCTAATAATTTAGAATTTTTCTTTTCACAATCATCAAACATTCTAAATCCATCCAAGATTCGTCTTCCACAAAGTTATCAAAGGAGTAGTTCCTTTTCAATGAAGAACATATATGTATGCATTTTAGAACACAATGGAATGCGGAGAAAATGATATGTTTGGTTCAACTTATCTCTTAGCCAAATTAGAATCTTTGCTGCATAAGGTAATCTTTTCTGGTTTTCACTTTCCTTGGTAGTCACCTCTTGGTATTCACAAAAAGCTGATCCCTAGCAAAGTATGGGAAAGAGCTATAAAGAGAGAACCAACTCGGCTGTGCTGCCTATGACAGTATTTGGGGATAAATTTTTCCATCCCTCCGAGAGTCCTGATAAACATGAGCTATTGCTGTTTCAGAAGACTCAGGACAATTGGGTTTTACTCAGGATGATATCTTCCTGTCCCTCGGTTATTCTGTTTTAGTTATGGCACTAGAATCATAGAGATGCCACATTAGAGATGTGGGATGTACTGATAGTAACATTAGCGGTTTTGTTTGATCTTTCTGATTCTGATTATCATGGGTTAAAAAAATAAAAATAGAAAGAGAGGACAAAAGTACTTTTTCACAAGAAAATGATTGTCGGCTTATGCTGTAAAATAGATGCATACCTTAGATGAGAAAAACACGCTGGAGATTGAGTGATGGGACAATGCTGTGGTAGACTCTGTATTGAGTTGAGGCCAAACTCATATTTCGGGCATTGAATTTTGGATGCAACTTGAATGCTAGAAAGTGGTTGATTTTGTCCTTTGAAGTTACGTTATGCAGAATGGAGCATTATCTCCAACTTTGGGTGAGAGCAGGATGGTACCCTGGCAAAGTGGTTAAAAATGATCCCATGAGAGGAAGGGATAAAATGTGCCAATTGCTAAGGTGGCAAATCGGAATCCATCCAAAAAAAAAGTGGCCAATCAGAGCTAATGAAATTTTTGGATGGTTATTTAGTCCCATCTGATTTGGAGAAATTTAAGTTGGAATAATGTTACCTGGAGGCTGCAACTTGGATTGTTTCTCGGTACATAAAATGGGAACATGGTATGCCACATGCTTTAAACGTGGTACGATAGGGATTGATTTATCTAGATTATACTTTAGAATTGAAGGTACTCCTAGAGTAATTTTCATTTACCAATTAGACAATGTAGTTTATTTTTTTCAAATTAATCATGTTAAAACATATTTCCATGAGCATAATGGTCCAGTTCTTACATTTAGTTATGCTGACTACACTCTCCTTGGATTTTAGTTCATTATATTTTATTTAAGGAAACCTTAAGGAGATGTTTTGGAAGGGAAAAAAAATTGGGATCACTAAATTCATTGTTTTGGAATGAAAGTGTAATCATGTTTTGGAATGTGCATACTAAAATGTAAATCGCTGAAGTATTTGTGTTTTCTGATAACACTGAGCTACAAGCATTATAGTTAGGTGGTGATTTTCAGATGGTGGTTATGAATCTGGTACAGTTGGTGGTCTATAAATATATTTTCTGCAGGTAGGTTAAATTTTGTCGAAGTAGCTTGTATTAATTGAAATGTACTTCTTTTATTAGCTGATTGACTAAATAGAGTTTAAACTGTTATACTACTCTGTTCTCTTTTATTTTATTTTATATTTCGGTTTTTTTATTGGGTGTAATTCAAATTTTAATTTAGTTAGATATTCGGTTTGTGCACTTTTATGTACGTTGCTGATAAGGTTTAGAAACATATGGTATGGATATTTATTGCTGGACCACTCATGAGTGAGTGGTAGGAAAACAAGTCTATGGCCCTGTTTGGTAGGGCTTATTTTCAGCTTATTTCAGCTTTTAGCTTAATTTAAGCTATTTTGATGTGTTTGGTTCAGCTTAAGAATACAGCTTATAGCTTTTTGTTAGTCAAAAATCAACTTGTTTTTTGAGTGGGGGAGAAAAAGTTTAATTTATAAGTCAAAAATCAGTTTATGTTCACAGTTATAAACTATAAACTGTTAAACTATAAGTTATAATCACTTTTCCAAACATCATGCTCTCTCTTTGGGGATGAGAAAAGCCCGAAAGCTCTTATAAGATATTGTCCTTTTGCAGGATTCCATAGAGGGTTCCAAACAATTGGCACCTTTCAGGTCGTTTGACAACCAAAACCAGCGTGAGATTGTCCGTGCACCTGTCCGCAGCAAGAGTGTGCTGTCATCTTTCTTTGTAAAACAGAAGACTGCCAAACTAAAGACTGTCCCATGAATCTTCATTCAAGCAAGTCAACTATGATGCCATTTTGTTGTCTCGTATGTTGGTTGATGACGTGCTTTTCACTTGATTCATTCATTAATTTCTCACAAATCATTCTCTACGTTTCATTTGGTGCTTAATAACAAGCAGAAGTGCACTGTAGTCTTGTAATGAAGACAATCCAGATTGTCTGCTTCTTGAGTTAATGGCTCTGATCAGTGGTTGCATGAAGTAAACATGGCTGACTTTTCGACTTCTATGCTGTATTCTGTGTTTTGTTCATATGGCTGTATAGTTAACTAGTTGGCAATCCTACTGTGAAGATGGTTTATATTGACCAAGCCTTGATGAGGTGATATTTAGTACTTGTTTGTTGCCTAAATGTATTGAATTTAGACTGAGAAATTTACTTTGCTCTTGGAAAATCAAAACAGGGCTTGAATTGCTTGTGTAGGTACTATTGAAAGTCTAACAACTTATTGTTGGGGTAATTGCAAATTAGTGAAAAGAAAGTGAACGTCATTGCAAAAATACAGAGGCACAAGTGGCATCTGTGCTTTGGTGCAAGTAAAGCCACAATTTTCATTTGCACCATAGCACAGATCTACTTGGAATTTCACGTTTTTGCGATTATTTTCACTTTCTTCCCGGTGCTTTGCAATTCTGACTTTATTGTTCCAAATGTGCTGGGTCCTGTTTATATCTAGGCTAGGAATTGTTTCATCTTGTGAATAAGAATGGACCTGAGCGGGGTTCAAACCTTGCTCTGCCTTGTACCAGGAAAAAAACAGAAACTTGTGTACAGAATGTGTAGAAAGGTAGAATTGCCTATTGTGAAATCTATTGTTGATTCGATCACTGTATCTCTGCTTCAAAGTAAAGCTATCAGAAGTTCCATCCACAGGTAACGGCTGTAGGATTTGGATTGCATTGTTGCATGGGGATCACTGGAGTTCAAGCAACACCTCACCCTCACAACTAAGGGTGTCATTGGCCCGAAAGCCACGGCGTGGATGGCCCAGTCTCATGCCCCGGGTGGGTTTGTGTGTATGCCTTGAATTAGGTTTGAGCTGGACCTAGGTGTTGAAGTCGCAGATATTCCTAATGTGGGGTTGGTGTAGCTTCAATAAGGTTTGAGTTGGATCCAGGTATTGAAGTTGCAGATATTCCTAATGTGGGGTTCGTGTTGCTTCAATAAGGTTTGAGTTGGATCCAGGTATTGAAGTTGCAGATATTCCTAATGTGGGGTTCGTGTTGCTTCAATAAGGTTTGAGTTGGATCCAGGTATTGAAGTTGCAGATATTCCTAATGTGGGGTTCGTGTTGCTTCAATAAGGTTTGAGTTGGATCTAGGTATTGAAGTTGCAGATGCTATTTTGGATGTTATGTGTACAACCAATAAGAAAAGAATAATATTATAACAATATACAAACCTCAAATTATTTTAAGGCCTTATTTGGCAATTTTTTGACTAAAATAGTCACAAAAAAAATAATTAAAAAGTTACTAAAAATTTAAAGAAGTCATTAAAAATAAAATAAAAAATCCAAATATCTCTGTAATGCAAAACTTTTGATACAATTAAAAATATCATTCTCATTTCTCAAAAAATAAATAAATATCATTCTCAAAAAAATTAATTTTTTTTCACCTCATAAAAAAGTTAAAAAATAAACAATTATTAAAAATGACAATTCCCAAACCAGGCCTATGTGGAGTATGCCATGTTATTTTAATGGGTCTTATTTTTTCAAATTTTGTTATTGGAAGCCATATTTGTGATTAAGGTTCTGTTTGTTTTGCCGTAAAATATTTTTGTCAAAAATATTTTAATCATTTTTGGTTGTTTGGTTAAATAAAAAGTAAGTAAAACATTTTTTAGGAAAATATTTTTGCATTTTTTTCTCAAAAATGACTTACTTTCCAAAATTCTGTAAGTTAATTTTTACAAAGTTGACTTTCACTCACTATCTTTTCAACACATTTACATTTTTAAATAATTATTTTAACTCACTACAAAATTATAAATAGCACTTTATTAAATTAAAATTTATTTTTTAAGAAATAAAATATTCTTATTTTAAGTATGAATCGAAAAATAAAAATAAATATATATATATATATATTTTGGTGTAAAAAAAATGAGCACAACATTCCAAACAATGGGGGTGTTTGGTAGAGCTTAAATCCAACTTATTTTAGTTTTTAGCTTAAATTAAGTGATTTTTGTGTGTTTGGTGTAGCTCGGGATCAACTTTTAGCTTAAAATAAGTCAAAATTCAACTTATTCTTTGAGTTGGGGAGGAAGTGCTTAAAAATTCAGCTTAAGCGCGCAGTTGGGGGTTTGAGGGGCAAAATGACTTAAATGCCCCTCACCATTTCAATTTATTACCAGTGTGCCACGTATATAAGCCAAACTCACTCATTTCTCTCCCTCACTCGAACCAGAGAGGCGATTTTCGGCGAGGGAGGTGATTTCTGGCGAACCCTAGTTCTGTCTGTCTGTCTCTGTGTGTGTGTGTGTGTGTGTTTGGATTCAAATCTGAAGGAAGACAATCGATTGAGAGTGACGGCCTACTGAAGATCTAGCCTCCGTCGCGATCCGGCCTCCGGCAAGGTTTCTCTGTGTTTTTATCATCGCGATCTAAACCATCGTGACCATCTCTGAACCATCGCGATCTGAACCATCTCAATCGATCTGAACCATCGCGATCGACACCGGCGTGACAACTCTTTCTCTGTGGATCAATCTGAAACCTTAGCTGCGCCAGAGCTAGGGTTTTCAGATTGGATTTTTTGTGTGTGTGTGTGTGTGTGTGGAGGTTCAGTGTTTTTTTAATTAAAAAAAATAATAATTAATGAATAAAAAATAATAATGCTAATTAATTTATAATGAAAAAATGAAAAAAAATTAATTAATGCTAATTAGGCCATTAATGAAAAATAATAATTTTACTATTAATTGATGCTAATTAGGCCATTAATTGACACTAATTAATTTATAATGAAAAAATGAAATATTTTTACTAAAAATGAAAAAATGAAATATCAAAAAAAAATAATTAAAATGAATAATAATAATAATAATAATTGATGGACAAATTGATACTAATTTTAATAATTGATGAACAAATTAATAATAATAATAATAATAATAATTGATACTAATTTTAATAATTGATGCGCAATTGATAATTTTTATACTAAAATCACAATTAATAATAATAATAAAGAAAAGAAATACATATATAAATAATAAAAATGAATATATGAAAATAATATGTAATGAAATCACAACATTAATATAAATTAGAACGTGAATATTAATTTTAATGAATTAATAAATCTAAAAAAATTAACAAAGAAAGAAGAGAAGAAAAAAAAATTAAAAAAAGAAAAGAAAATTAAGTGAAAAATAAAATAAAATAAAATGAAACAGAAAAAGAAAAAAATGTATTATGAAATCACAAATTTTATATCTTATAAGGACAAAAATGACAATTATACAGAAAAAAGCTATTTTACAGCTTATTTACCAAACATTACTCTGCTGCTTAAATCCATAATCACATAGCTAGGGGTATGCATAATACTGCCGAAACCGCCAAAACCGCACCGAACCGCACCGCCAAGACAAATTCGTTATTACTTGTCAATCGAACCGCCGGTTTTTGGTAAGAAAAATGGCAAATTCTAGTGACACTTTTATCAATCCGCCGGTTTCTATTTTTCTTCCAAACCGCACCGACCCGCACCGCTATTAAATCATGTTTTATAAGATTCTAAAAA